TTTTAGTCCAACTTTTTCATTAAAGAAAAAAAAAATTTTTGAATTTTTTTTTAAGAAAGATTTTAAACCATACTCTTCAAACGATTTACCATATTTTTTACCTGGAAATTCTAGTTTAGTGAAATTTTTTAATGATGAAAAATTACTCCCAAATTGGACTGCTAATATGTATGTCAAATACAAAAAATATTAATAATGATTAAACTTAACGCACTTAATTTAGAATTCAAATTCTCCTGAACAAAACGGACAGCGTTTTGAACCGATTCCTCATTAGTGACATCAATTTGTACCGGAATTAACCTTCCGGTAGTCTTTTGAGCCATTTCCTCGATTGTTTTCATTCCCTAAATGAGTGGAATATTTGAATATTCTTGAAATGTTTCAAATTCATTTTCTTATATTTGAATTTAGCTAATCTGTAAATTATCTTTTGTTTAATTTTATCATATTATTACCTGCGATGATATCCTGACCAAATATATTTTTCCTAATAAACCACCTAAATTGCAATAAATTAATTATAATTTTACTTTTTCAAATTTTAATTTTAATTTAATTCATGATCTCATTAAGGAAGAATAGTAGTGCAAATAAAACTTATATTTTCACATTTTTTTCATTTAACTGGCTGTTTATGATTATTTACCATACATCTTTTACCTCAGCTAATTTTCCCGAAATTTTAATCCCAGCAAAAAGCCAAAAAAAAAAAATGAAACACATAAAATTGAAATTTAATTTAATCATCTATTCAACACATATGCATTTTTAACCTCAATTATTTGATGCAACAAACTTTCATTTTCAGCAAGAAAAAAACCAGGTTAAAAAAAGAAAAATGGAAATCTCAAAAACTCAAACTTACATGTTCCGTTAAGCAACCAGCAAATGTTGATAAGCCATTTTGAGCACATTTAATAGCCAATAAGTAGCCAAAGCCCGAATCACATCCACTAATGAAAACTGCCTTTGTATTAAGGTCAGTTATTTGAATCGACTCCAAAAAATTACGTATACCATAATAGAGGAAGACGAGAGCTGCGAGAAATAGTACCACTTGGAGGAACATTTCAGTGCGCTACAAAATGACACCGTTAATTGAACTCTGAATTGGAAATGAAAAGAGAGAAAAAAAAAGGGAATAAAATTTGTGATTACTTTTTTTGGTTACCAAATTTTTTCAAATTTGAAATGAATTTTTACGCAATAATTTTACGCCCATTGGAATGAAAATGAAGAAAAAAAAACAAAAAATAATTAGTGAAAAACAAATAATTGTTAGTGAAACATAATGATATTAAAAGAAAAAATTTTGATATTTGTATCTGATAAATGGAACATAATGATATGATATGAATTTGATAAATTAATTCAGCAGTATGCATCAAATTAAAGTTATCAATTTTCATTATATACCTTCGCACATGCAATAATATTCTTCATTTAACCAGTGAAATAATTTATCATT